AACAACATATACAATATAAATAATACGGAAACATTTTCAGCTTGAATGTAAAAATAAATGTTGATTACGAATGTTTACTTTCTATAATCGGATAATGAAATCAACCATATAAGAAATGAATACAGTAACACATTGATATAGTATGAATATTCATGTAGGCATTATGCAAAGTGGATTTTTATTATTGTTTCAACTGATTCAGTAACATTAACCTTTTTTATGATAAATTAAACTATATATGTATGTATGTACGTATGTATGTAGCGAAATGTAACCTCATCTCTCTTTTCTACATAAATTCAACATACATGCTTCATTAGTTCATTTCATATAACTTATACTGTGCTTCTATTTTTTTTTCTTGGTCAATAATACAGAGTTCTATAAGTAATTCATTCACTTCTGATAAAAATCATTTCTCGAATGAACGTAAATTTAATCTTATTCAGAGAATTAGCCTATTGAATGTATATATATATATATATATACGCAAGATTATAAGATCGACTATACGTGAAGTAACTCCACCTGGAGTCATTCTGGAGTTTCTCCTTATCCCAAGCCAGGATAAAGGAGGAGGGTCGAGAATCGGTTTAGTGTTGGGGACGTTAGATCTCCAGAACTCACTTGAAAAAGTTCCTAATTTTTGAATATTTCATGTTTTCGCGCATAAGTTGCAAAGCTGACCTTGAGATAACATATCCCACTAGGGAAATCCTTGACCATCATTGGTTGGTGGATTATTTGAGTACACTGTTTTGTGGCTCTCCCAAGGGCGTTGCTATCATTGTATAAATAAGCTCGATTTGTGTGCTTGTCGACTTCGTATTTTCGGGGTGCTTGTAGAATACACTTTCTACACTTTATCAAGACTTCTTAATATAGTTAGCCGTACCGGGGTCAAACGGATTAGAATAACCTATTGCGTCACTGGATCATTTGTCTTCGTTCTCGTTTACCGAGTAAGGTGAACTCTTTCTAGTTTCAAGCGCAGCAATTGATGAGCAAATCAACTCTCTAAAAAAGGCCAATCATAAAAATGCTGGTCAGCAGCCTATGATCCATTTGCGGAAATAAGCTCTAGTGAGTAAGTAAGTAAGTAATACTTAAAGCGACGAACAGGTAACATCAATCATAAGTTTAAAATAAATCTTTATGAAAGAAACGAACTTCGAACTTAAGCGCATCATTCATTGTACATCATACAAAGTGCCTAATAAAAATTATCTATGTATGGTGCTGTCAAAATATTTGAAGTGGCTTCAATTAAAAGTTAGTTTTGAATTATAAAATTCAACATTGATGAATGTGAAATACTTTAATGAATGCCTACTTCATACTAATATAGATGATACATAAATAACATGGTAAGTTAATTTTGGATTTTAATTCAGTTGCATTAGTGTTTAAATTACCCTCTGGAAACAAATCACTTTATTAACCGGTTAACTGAAATAGAAATCGCAAATGAAGAACTTTAGATATCTGTGCATACATTTCCATATTTTCTCTATCAGTTAGCTTCATTTCTCTCTGCAATACAAATACATTCGATCTTAGATAAATAAGATTAGATCGTGATATTCCCATAATATTGTTATAAGAAACTTAATTAACTTCGAAAAATTAATAAACTTTGTAAAATTTCTGAAATCTAACAGATTTTATGACTTTGGTGTTGTGAAATATTTTCACTTTTAACCAATTGGTCATTACATCATATAGTTACGATAGATGAAAACAATTTTAATAATTTAAAGATGACACAAATGAACAATTTCTTGTATAATTCGAAAATCAAATGAAAATAAGGTTAATTTAAACTATAAATATCAGTCACTTAGCATGATTGATCAATAAAATTATTTTCAATTAGAGCTAGGGAGGTTTGTGTTTTGACACAATTGAAATCATCAATCAATCATTGTTAGACCACCATTAGAAACCTGGAAGCACTGGACGGCCGTTTCGTCTTGGTGTGGGACTTCTCAGCAGTGCGCATCCACGACTCCTGCACCTCTCAGGATTCGAACACAGGACCTTCGGTTTTGTGCGCGAACGCCCAACCATCAGACCACTGGGCCGGCATCCAACGGTGTTAATGTCTAACTCTGATTGATCTAGGGATTTTGCTCGACCTCACCCATTTGTCTTTGGTAGTTACTGCCTACACCCGACAGGATTGAAATCCATTGGTAACGTCTTCTCACTAGAACTAGAAAATTATTGGTTGAGAATGATGGATTCTGATAAAGCATTCTACTTAAAATTAATATTAATATATATTGCATTATGGGGTTATGGAGATTGTTAACTTACACATTTGGAATCATGAATCAATCAGTGTTAGAGCACCATTGAGATGTTTGGGACTCATCAGCAGTGTATGAGGTTGCGCAAGAAACCTGAATTGATCGAAGTTAGACATTAAAACTGTCAGATACCGGCTCAGTGGTCCAGAGGTTAGGCGTTCGTGCGCAAGATGCAAGGTCCTGGGTTCGAATCCTGCAATGTGTATGAGATGTGAATGTGCACTGCTGATTAGTCCCATACCATAACAAGACGGCCGTTCAGTGCTTTCGGGTGTCGAATGGTGCTCTAACATTGATCGATTCATGATTTCAAATAATATATTCGTAAGATCATCTTAGAAAGTTTCTTCGAGATTCAATCTTTTGTTTTACAATTTATTCTGATTAAAACAGCAAGAGATAAATTTAATGAATGGTAATTTTTTTTGTACTACACTTTGAACAACTGAACTGATACGCACGTCAAAAAAATATCAATGTAATCAATTTGATGAAATAATTATACATTGATTTGATGAATTCAATCTTGTCTAAATAACAGCACAAATGAAATCTAATCAGTTTGTTTTTTATGATTGAAAAGTTTAATAATGATGTCAAGATTACAAATCAGAAGTATAATTATGCTTTGAATAAAAATAATCAGTTCAGTAAGCAGGTTATCATTGATCATAAATTATATAAACAAATTGATAGGTGGATTTTTGAAGACATCTTTCTTGACAGTTGAACAAGTTATAGAAAGTTTGAAATAATCAATTCAAGTTTCAATTTGTTTTGTTTTTTTACCAGCAACCTGAATAAAACTTTGACTTTTTTCAATGGAAGTTCCATCCTCTAGTAGGAAGCCAGTAAATCTAAGTTAAGTTACTTTAAAAGAAAAACGTGATCAAAGTCCGTCTGGAGTGATTATTTGTTTTCGTAGTTCATAATGTCTTCTGCAGTTCCGCTAGATGAATGAACTATAGTCCTATCAGTATGGTTTGTTTTAGACTGTTAGGACAAGATTTCAACTGATTACATAATTTTACTCACCTACTTACGCCTGTTACCCCCAATGGAGAATAGGCCTCTGACCAGTATTCTCCAGCCAACCCTGTCCTGGGCTTCCCTTTCCAGTTCTGTCCAAGTTTTGTTCATTCTTCTGATGTCTTTCTCTATTTCTCGGCATAATGTGTTCCTTGGCCTTCCTGTTTTCCTTTTACCTTAAGGGTTCCAAGTGAGGGCTTGACTTGTGAAGCAGTTGTGTCCTATCGTTATATAATTGTAGCTATCCTCTACTCAGAAACTTGGGCAATAATAGAAATTAACATTCGAAATTGTATTGGTGTGTAATTAATTTTATTTACATGAGTAGTTCTCAAAAGAAAAGCGTGTTTTTCTAAAAAAAATTATTACTTCTAAGTTCATTTCCTTATTTCACTTATAATTTTCAACATTACATGGTTTTTTTGTTAGTAAGAGGCTACAAAACAGTCACCTGCCAAAATTAAACAGTTATTTATTTGAATAAACCCAAAACAATAATTAAAATAGGAAAAAATGAATTCATTTTATTTCAAGACCGGTCCTGTAGCCTTTTTGAGGTTACTACCGGTCTCAAGACCGGATAGAGTAGGAGGGCTAGGGTATAGAATTTGCGACCCCATCCAGTAAAAAGCCAACGTCAACCAGAAAAAATAATTCAAGCCACTTTAACTCTGTCCTGGCAGTTGGAGAGTCTTTAGGTAATGACACCTCATGATGAAAACTGAGTTTCTTTGGAAATCACGCGGTTTTGTCCCTTCCTACTACTAGAGTAACAAACTTGATAACTGTTGTCCGAAGGTGAGTTTATTTTTCGAATCAAATGTTCAAGTGTTCAATTGTTGTCAGGAATTTATCATTTCTCAACAAAAAGAAACAGACTATTATTCATAATCCTGCTTGTTATAACACCCATACATAATAACTATGCCAAATGAAATGCCACACTTTTATACTTATTGAAAAAAATAAAAATATGACAATCAGTGATAGAATTATCCCTTATTTAAAGTGAACTAATTTCCATTAATTCTAGACAGCTGTCGTCTTTTAAATCTATACCAGAAATTTAACTAAATTGTGAAAAATGTTAACCTTATTGCCCTGGAAAAAGAAACTAAATTCCAATGTCTGAACACAATGCCACACTAGGGTTTTATTGTTAGCATCAACTTCATTTAAGTCCAGTTACCGTACAGACATGATCGATTAGTTTTTTCTTATTGATTTAGTCGGAACTTTGTAAAAAAAAACCCAAAGAAAAAATAAACCCAAAGAAAAGGAATAGGATAATGGTCTAGTGACCAAATGGATGACTGGACATGTGCTTCTTGCTAGTAGCCTATAGCACACAATGTGTGCTTGTGCATACATTCGTAACGAATAAGGAATAAATAAATTTAAATGAACCAATCAAATGTTCGGTTTCAGTTTTTAATGAGGCAGGGCTGAACGCAGGAATCTCAACAACAAATAATCTATCTACACTCTTTGATAGATTTATTTCTACAAATTTTTCTACAAGTTTTTCTACAATAACAACAGTATTGACAAAAATGGCAATAAAATAATAAAACTATAATAGAAATTATTTAGAAGCACAAACTGTAATCAATTTTTTATTGCAAACTAACACAATTCTTTACATTAGAACATAACAAAAAAAAATTTGAAATAATTGTTTTGATCGAAGCGAACTGAGTGTTTCTACCATTTCATTTACTATAGCAATTTTGGTAAGTCTTTAGTAGGTTTTTTGAATTGAGATTCATTTGTTAAAGTATCTTCTACACCACGACCAAAGATAAGGTTCGGTGTTTATAGTAGAACTTATGATTATATAATGTTTCCGTCCTAAAAATGGTTGTTTACTAAACATTTACATTTGAAAGTCCTTTTGTTTGAAAAATATGACTGTCGTGTTTATGAGATGGCAGTGTGCACCCAACTGATCTGTCCTCAATGAAAAGAAAAGTGTGTATTGAATTTCATCCACTCTACATTCAGTTATAGTTGCTGATGTTGAAGTCATTATTAATGAAAAGTGAATTTCATAGGACATTTTCACTTTAGGCATTATTTACAGCATAATCTATCAAACTTTTAAATTCATATCAATGTATTAGGTAAAGTAATATCGAAATATATGACTAAACATACTATTGGTTAAGAATTCATCTACTGTATATTCACTGAATAACTGAATATACACTTAAATCAAATTTGAACAGTAGGTAAATCAACTGAATACAACAAGTATTTGTTCGTCATCCTTAATTATCGCACATGATTTATTGATTTTCGTTCCGGTAAAATGACTGCTGTGGTATAACATGCCACCAAAATATAAATATATAGTGGTGGACGCTTCTTATAAGCAAGATGTGGAGGGACATCACCTGGAATTAGATTCTGTCAATAGCCGGCGACACATCAGTTTCAATATATCAGGAGTGCGATGCGTTTAAGATAATTTTAAGAATAGAAATGGAGCGATAGGGGACAATCTATCACCAGGTTAGATTGCAGAACACAAAACAAATGCAAACTAAGTGTAGGTAATCAATAAATAATCTGTGTTTTCGATAGATATATCTATTCCATCTGGACTCAGCTTCTTCTTATACTATGATTAATCTTTACCTGCTAAGAAACAACCAAATTGTTCATTGAGAATTTAATCTGAATGATTGTTTATGCATACTAGAATAACTTAAGGAGGATATTTTCAAATTACAATTTGTCTTTTATTCAGCTAATCACAGACTGTTAATGAAATAAGGATATGCATCAAGAAGAAACTGTTCATCTCTTTGCTACTATACTTTGAATAATAGATTTACTGAAATTTACCTTATAATCGTTTAGAATTACACACTTAACAGGTTATTAATTCTAATATTCTGTTCTGTCTATCATTACACTTTAAAAAAGAATGTAGCCATTCGAACTGTAGTGTATTTATTAGATATGAACTTTCAGGTCAATACAAATTAACTCACATCTACAAATTAGATGAATTATGGCTAGCAGTAGAAACCTGGATGATAGTTTCTTCGTATTTAGAGCTTATCGCCTAGATGTACTTATATTCCAGTATTGATGTTCACCTATAAAACGAAACGTATATTCTAGGTTTCTCTGCTAACTATAACCAACCTATTCCGTAAAACTCGTGACTTAACACCTATATCAAGGCACACTGCACTGAATCTGTAAATGTCAACAAAGCCTGAATGTCGATAGGGGGATTATACCAGCTTTTACTAAGAATCATGTAAACTGTATCCGAGAAAATCGATTGTCTCTATAAGTGTTACAATTATCCGTATTAATAAAATTTTTCTATGATGGTATACATGATATATGTACATTATTCGTTGCGTAATCAATGTGATTTAATGAATAGGATTTATATCGTCCTTTAAACGGCATATACCGGTGTTTTACCGTTTTTGTGATCAAATATAAATCTTCAATAATTTTTGTTATCCTGTCCGAGTAAGTCAGTACTTTAATAGGCGAAAGATTTAGAGCTAATCGAAGACAGTGTATGAGGCTGCGCAAGACTGTGAATTGATCGAAGTTATACATTAACACCGTTAGATACCGGCCCGGTGGTCCATAGGTTAGGCGTTCGCGCTCTAAGTCGAAGGCCCTGGATTCGAACCCTCCGAGCTGCAGGAGTCATGGATTTGCACTGCTGATGAAGCCCATAGCAGGAAGAAACGGCCGTCCTTCAGTGCTTTCAGGTTTCTAATGGTGGTCTAACATTTATTGGTTCATGATTTCAAAATCTTTCCAAAAAGGCAATCACTTTTAGAAGAAAATTCTATTCTAATTAGTTTAGATAACCTACGAAGGAATGTTTCGAAAAATCAGTTTTATGGATATATTTTTGACAAATTGTACGATTTTTGCAAAAGCACTTGCAGGTAATAACGCTATACATATCTAAGTCGATAGCATACTATGTAATGGACTACGATAACACAGTTCATAATATTTCAAGTGATAACATGATTCAGCATTGATCACAAAATGAAGCAAGTAGATTCGCCTTTTTATTTGCTTGTCAATCTTGGTTTCTTGGATTATGGGGTCGTGGAGATTGTTGAGTTACTTATCGAAATCATGTATTCAACATTACTGTATAACTTTGAATCCTATCTTGCTACGTTAAACAACCTAACATCAAGAAGAAATAGAGTATGTTATTTCGGGTCTCTGAGACGAGTAGCCACATTAGGACTTGACTGTTATATATATACTTTAATCAGTATTGACGATTATTTGTTCCTACTCAGTTCAATCAACGTCAAACATTTGATTCTTCGATTTCATTGACTATTTTTGAAATACTTTCTCTCTTTTTCCGATTATTAGTTTGGTAATTTTCATTTATCATGCTCATCGAAACATATAAAAATCTCGTATTTTCTTCCCTCAAAACTGATTCAGTTATTTTGATTGGTTAACTGAAAGCTAATATTTTTATGTAATACGCTTTTTAACTATGAGGAATTCGTTACAAATTTTTATATTTGTTAATGCATATGCATACTATTGAATTGAGTTTAGTAGTCAAAACCACTTCAATTCATTGCTTTTTAAACATACTCCATATGTTAGTAGGTGTCGACTACCTGGTCGGTGCCCGCGAGATAATAGTAAACGATGATTTGAGACCCTGAATGATATATCTCAAAACCATTTGCAGTGGCGCAGGTTCACTCATTCTTTGTGTTCTCTAGAATCGTAACCTTCTGAATTCCTCACCAACTTTATCTCTTTCTTTTAAGTTTATTTCACTAGATTCTACTTCTTGAATAGTATCTTCAAAACCTGATCTCTCTCATTACTGCTAATACCTTTACTACCTCTACTACAATGGGATTTGAACTGACAATCGCATCTGTGTGCTTGTGTGATATGGTAACTTGAACTGATGTACGTACGTACCTACGAAGTTCTGCAGTGCTGTTGATTGATTGATTGGCTGACTGAAACATACTTCTCACTATTTTATTCTTTCCAGGGAAAATAAATGATTCTCTCAGTTTAAAAACAGTATCATGAAGGCATTAGATTATCTAGCCTTAATTTAAGAAAAAATTATAGTATTTACAAAAAGCAGTGTCAACGGTTAAATACCTTTTTTTACAACACAGACTACAAAATCAATAATTTTTGAGTATCAAAAGACTAGAATAATAGGAGATATTTAGTCATTATTATCAGTGGTATTCTGTTAATAAAATGTTCATTAATTTCTTGCAAAAAAGCAAAATACGACACACATTTTCGATTGATCAATGAGGAAATCAGTTAGCTGACTTAATCACAGACTCCTTTATCTCTCAGCTGTAAATGGAAAACAGTGTAATAATACTGAGAGAAAATTTCAATATGCTATGATGCACAGTTGCGGATGCACATGATCTAATCACATGCTGCCAGCAAAAATAAACATTTATGCGTACTTTGCTGATCGGTGTATGCTGAAATAAAACTTTCCAACAGACTGTCAGACGCTTACAACCACTTAACATCAAATGAAAGCAGCTGGAAGTTTGAAAGAAGCTTTTATTTTTCAAATTTATCTCATGTTAATAAAACCAACGATACTGTCTTTTGAGTTTCGTGGTAACACATTGTTAATTTATGTATTTGTAGGCAAAATATTTACCTTGATAATTAACTAGTCATTCGATTTATTTAACTAAGAAAAGTAGAAATACACTTCGATTTTAAATGTTTTCGAATTATTTATTGATACATTGATCAGTTTAAAATTAATTTTATATATTTTTCTGCATTGTCGAGCAAATAGATGCCTTTCCATACATGTGCAAAAAAATTAGATTTTAAATGAACATAAAAAGCAGCATATAAGCAAGTTAAAACAGTAGTCAATGTCCAATGACTGATTCATTAACTTCCATCAGCCATTGAACAAATGAATCACTGAAACCAAAATTGATCCAATCTTTAAATGAATTAAAATTAGAAAAGTATGGATAAAGTAAACAGTTTTTTTTTTTAATTTTATTCACTAAAAAGTAGACACAAATTGTTCAATAATTTAATAAAAGTTTGTTTAATATTTATAATCAATTTGTTTTACAACAATTTAAGAGATACAATTTAAAAGAGAAAGTTTAGGGAAGAACAGTTGTTCAAGTGCACTTTAACACATCTTTTAGTTTCCAAAAAATAAATAAAGTTATTCAAATGTCTGTTTTGATTTATATAAGCTAAAAATAAATTGTGTGCAGATTTGTTATTACGTATACCATGTTATATATAAATAACTGGTATGATGTCGATATAGATTATTACATTAAGAAAATAGTAAAAGCTGATCACAGTATTATTAAACCAAATGGCAGATTCAGTACACACCCAAATTTGAGATCAACAGGCTGGATCCCGTAAAGAGCAATCGATTATTGACCAAATCACGACACTACCGCTCAATGTGGAACAATCAGTTGAATGGAACTCGCCCCTCTACATCAACTTCATTGACCACGAGGAAGCATTTGATAGCGTGGACAGGACAACAGTATGGTCGCTTCTTCGAAACTACGGAGCGCCTGAGAAGATAGTTAACATCATACGGAATTCGTACGATGTATTAAACTACAAAATCGAGCACAGAGGTCAGCTGACAGACTCATTTTATATGAAGACCGGTGTCAGGCAAGGTTGCTTACTCTCACAATTTCTCTTT